GCAGGGCTATTCAACAGCAGCCCGTGGGCCTCATCTGGTCCATGGGTGACTTCCATCCGGCCCACCACTTTTAAAGAAAATATTTTTTTACGTAATTTAATATAAAAACGGATTTTAAATTTAAAATGTAGGAATTACCTCAACAAAATAAACAAATTTAAAAAGTAATGCAGCGTTTCCTCTMCTGTTCACCGAGGGCCACGGGAGCGTTTTAGTGGCCCTCAAAGGGCCAGTTGTAATCACCTTCAACCAAATATGAAACGTCTCGTTCGTTGTCTCACTGCTACAGCTGAGCACTGTTAACAAACAATAACTGAGCTCTACGTGGTATTTCCTGCATTGGATCAGCGTTTTTAACACGTCCTCTTTGAAACAGAARATTACTGCGTGTGCAAATGACTAAATGTGAAAAGTGAATTAGAAAAGTAAAAGCTTTACTCACTGCTGAGTTCTGGTAAGTCTTGATGTAGTTTATGCTCAATGCTGGCTTATTTTGAGACATTAATCCAGGGAGATGCAACTAAATTGCACAAGGGGCCACAGTTAAAACCAACAGCAGAGGCAGGGGAAGTAAAAGTTGACCATTGATATAAAAACTATTTTCAGATTCAATTAAGTACAAAAAGTAATAATTTTTTTTTGGGAAGGCCTGACGGAAGTCACCTGCGGGCCACATTTGGCCAGCGGGGCTTGAGTTTGACACGTTCCCTATATTCCCCCCCCGGCCACTGAGCTGTTGGCTTTTAATAACTGTGGTTCACTGAGCAATTTAGTTTTACATCCTTCCAGGTGTTAAAATAAATCCTAAATCTGTATAAATCTCCTGCTTGTTCACTTTTCTATCACTGTGCTCCCTTATGTTTCCTAACTGACTCTAAAATTGTTGGCCCCGTCTGTCTTCTCAGAACTTCTACAAAACAGAGCTGAACAAGGAAGAAATGTACATCCGCTACATCCACAAGCTGTACGACCTGCACTTAAAGGCACAAAACTACACCGGTAAATAAAACCCAAGAGTTTCTTTAAGCAGCTTCTGCACGACGCTGACATCTCTGCTTGTTTTTTTTTTTCCTCTTCTTGTATCCCAGAGGCGTCGTACACCCTGCTGCTGTACGACGAGTTACTGGAGTGGTCCGACCGGCCGCTCCGAGAGTTCCTCAACTACCCCATGCAGAGCGAGTGGCAGAGGAAGGAGTATCTGCACATCACCATCATTCAGAACTTTGATAGAGGGAAGGTGAGCAAAGTCGATTTAATGTTTGCAAATCTAAGTTAAAGCAGGTTTTTTTTCTCAGAAAGTGGGAAAAGACGACATGGAGACTCATCATTCGTCACTTTTTTCTAATTGTATCTTTTTATCTTCCTTCAGGGGAAGTAGCATCCAAATAAAACTAGTGTCGATTTTAAGAAAAGGAAAAAAAATAAATGAAATTAGTGTCCCGGGTGAATTTCACAGCTCTGCAGAATAATTAAAACGGCTCACTCGTTACTCAGAGTCCACTTTTCCTTCACGTTTGCGAGCCGTGCCATCTGCCGGTGCTTTCCAGGGACCGGGAGGCGGCGGGAAAGAAAAGCTTTTTGTGTTTGTTTCATTAGCGAGGTTGTTTTGGAGGCTGCGCCTGTGAGACTTCTGACAACTGCCGTCGACTCAGCAGCGCCATCAAGTGGCTCGGCAGCGTTCATAACCGAGAAAAACCTGTTTCCTCAGAGGTTCTTTTCTTTTTTTCTTTTTTTTTTTTTTTTGCTGATGTTTGTGTCGTTTTCTGTTTCTGTGCTGCCAGTGTTGGGAGAACGGCATCATTCTGTGCAGGGAGCTTGCCGACCAGTACGAGTCCTACTACGACTACAGGAACCTGAGCAAAATGAGGGTAAGTTTTCAAAATATCTCGTTAACCAGCGGGCGGATTTCAATTTTACTTTCATTAAGTGATCATCGGACGTGCATCTACGACTAATTCACTTTCTGAGTCACTCTAATTCAAGATGGCCGCCGTGGCTCATTTGTTTCAGCCTGCAAAAAAAGGCTAAAGCTCTTGTCGGTTGTACAGAAATTGAGCTAAAATTTGGTTTGGCAGTAGCTGAGAGTAATGCCCAAATTATATACTGAGCTCCAACAGATGGAGTGAGGTTTTTGCCTTTAACTAAAGGGGTCTGTGTTTGTTAGCAAAATATCTTATAAACCACCAAACGAATTTTAATGAAACTCTGAGGGAATAACCAGTGGATGCACCTCTACAACTGTTTAACTTCCAGAGTTGATCCCTTTCAGTGTAACTATCACAACAAAGTGACTTTMGTAAACACAAAAATGGAAATAAGTCAGCTGTTTTTTCAAATATTAAACTGATATTTGGTGTARTAGTAGCTGAGCTTAACACCCAATCCATACTCTGAGTGCTAACGGATCAGAGGAGATATTCTTCAAGGTTCAGCTCTGTCATTTTTCAAAATAAGACAACTTAATTTTATTGTTTTTTTATTATAATAAAGTTTATTCATTTTATTTAAAAAAACACATAAATTCTGTATACAATAAAATAAATACAAATCACAAATAAAATAAAAATGTSGCACAGTTGTTGGCGGGCAGTTTGCATTTCTTTGAGGATTACCAGACCTTTAATTTCATCTACTTTATTTGTTTGTTTGTTTGTTTTTTTGTTAATGCAGAACTTTATTTTCCCACTAGATGATGGAAGCTTCTCTTTACGACAAGATCATGGACCAACAAAGACTAGAGCCTGAGTTCTTCCGAGTTGGGTTCTACGGGAAGAAGTTCCCTTTCTTCCTAAGGGTAAACTAATCTTAATATTCCTTCTGTCAGGAGTTTCTGTCTGCAGAAACCTTAAAATAGATCATGGAGAAAGATTGAACTTTTCTTACATAAACTCCTTCAATGTCAAAGTGACATTCAGCASCTCTCAGTCTGAGCTGTTTAATGATGTAACAGCCTCTGTCAGTGGTTGGAGCTGCAGTTACAGCCCGCGGCCACTAGATGGCAAGCTAACCCCACGCTGCTGCCTCTGCTCTGCCGCAGAACAAGGAGTTTGTGTGCCGCGGCCACGACTACGAGAGGCTGGAGGCCTTCCAGCAGCGGATGCTCAACGAGTTCCCCCACGCCATCGCCATGCAGCACGTCAACCAGCCAGACCAGACCATTTACCAGGCAGACGCGCAGTGTATCCTTGGATCTGTCCGTTAGCAAAATATCTCACAAGCAGCTGATTGGATTTGATTGAAACTTTTAGGGAATAACCACTGGATAAGATTCCACAACTGTTTAGCTTTTGATGTCAAGCTGATTTAAGATGGCTGCCTCAGCACGCTGATAAGAGAAAACAACAACAAGGCACTAAGGCAGTCAGTTTTACAGGTATTGTCCTAAAATTTGGTGTGATAGTAGCTGAGAGTCATTCTCAGATCATACTTTTATGCTACTCTTAGATGAGCTTTCGTTTCACCTAAAAGTATAGCAATAAGGTTGTAGTTTACCCTGTTTGCCTGTTAGCAAAATARCTCATGAAGCTTTTGATAGATTTTAATAAAACTTTCAGGAAAGCATCACTGGATATATATTTATGACTGATTATCTTTTGGAGTTGATCCAATTCAAGATRGCCTCCACAGCTTATTGCCTTTATCAAAGGCAAAAACTCAAATTGGATATAGTAGTAGCTGAGAGTCATTCACAACATTGTGTGATATTACAAGAGAATATGCTTTTAATGTTGCCTTCAAGGGTTGACCAAAATAGCAACAACTCTTGTCATTTCTCACCAAAAAGATATTAGTGAGAAACTCTGGCCTGAAAGGCTGCGGTCGGTGCGCTGGGCCTTTGTTTCGCAATCTCCCTTGTTCATCGTAATCAAAAGCCCATTCACRCAGGATACAAAGTGCTGTATGAACCACAGTTGTGGTTTCGAAAGCGATTTAACACGAGCCAGTCTCTCAGTGGGGACAGTTACCTTCTGATCAGGCTCTGATGGGAAAACTTGAAGGTTTGTATCCAGAGCGGCAGCTCGTACGCTCCCAAAACAACAAGCTGAACACAAAAGTAGCAATTCGTCACAGAAAATACGGCTTTATTAGGGTGATTATACATTCATTTGTGAGATGTAGGTCAACATATGGAACGTGTGGCTGTAGAAACGACTCGCTGTTTCATGAATCAAATCCACTCGCGTTAAGAAAKCCCCTGTTTTTTTTTCCCTCCCCATGCATTGTTCCGATTCATTCACAGAAAATGTGGGCCTTGTTAATTATTCACACGCATGTACGGGGCAACTGTTGGCCTAGATAAAGGAGCAGCGACAAGACGATCAGAGCGGGGCTTTCTCCACCAAACCTAAAACTCCTGACTGCTTCAGAATTGGAGCTTTAGTGGGGAAAAAAAATCTTTGAACAAACACGGCTTGTGATTAAATTTGACGAGCGAAATACCAACATTCGATTAACGCCGACAGTAAAAGTGAAACGTGTTCTCACGTAACTCCGATCAATAGAATATGTGTTAGAGTGCTCAGCCATTCGTGTGTCCGCGTCACAATCACTCATGTGTTTGAGTTCACGCCGCCTTTTTTTTTTTTTAACAAAGCCGCTCGTCAGAGCTCCTCATCGCAAAGGTGAGGCTCTGCCGAATCACTCTGACGAGCCTCACGAGTCACTCGCTGAAAACAGAAACTCCTGCCTGATTGTGTCGAGTTTGACACAATCAGGCAAAAATAAAAAATTGGTAGTGCTTGGGCCTTAACCGTGCTTCCAGACCTGCAGATCTACGCCGTTACTCCCATCCCGGAGAGCCAGGACGTGCTGCAGCGAGACGGGGTGCCCGACAACATCAAGAGCTTCTACAAGTTCAACCACATCTGGAGGTTCAGATAYGACCGGCCTTTTCACAAGGGCACCAAAGACAAAGAGAATGAGTTTAAGGTACAGAAACATGACACACCCATGAAGTCCACCAATGGTTTTACGTATCGGGAGCTAAAGAAAGTTTTGGGATCAAAAAAGAAAAAATAAGTAGGTCCTCTGGATAGGTTCATCTTTGGTGAAAMGTTTCGTCTCTCCTCCAAGAGACTTCTTCAGTCTGATGAGTTTCAGGTGAACTCAGCCTTATAAGCACTGCCTCCACATGGACAAACAGGTTAGTCACATGCAAAAGAGGGCCATCGCCTAACAATAGGCTTGATTAGCGCTATTGTTCATAGAGGGTCATGTTCCCCATCACCTGACTTATTGGTTTGGATGCTTCGGCTGTGGTTCTTTGGTGTTTTGTTATGTGTATGTAGTGAATGCAAGCGRGGTTCAACTTCCCCGTGTTTTTGTCCCTCTTTCCCTATTTGTATTGGGTATCATTGGGACCTGGGGTTTCCAGGTCCTGTGGTCCAAATTATCCTTCCGTCACCGCTGTGCTCGACAGTTGAGATGTTTTGCCAAAGGTGGAGCAATGCATTATGGGTGACCACTGTGATCTCATTTTTCTGGAAACCAAAGTCAAGTTTTCAACTCCAACATTTATCGTGTTAACCGAGGCATCTAGAGCCTGAAATGGAGCATTTTTCTCTGATCATTGCACAGTCTGACCTCTGGGTGAACCTTCTGATATTTACACTTCTGAGAAAATTGGTAGCTATCTAAAATCAACTGCATTTTCCTTTTAAATCCTATAGAAGCAGACTGGACTAAGCTTTGTTTAATAATGACCAGTTACATCATATAAACACTAACACCTACAACTGAAGCATTTTAAATAGTTATTTAGACAGATTTTAGACTACAATGCTAGAAGTACTCAGTGGCCTTTGACTGTAGGGGAGCAGCTATTGAATGTTTCTCTCTAATAAACAAGAAAATCTAACTTATGGTGAATATTTAAAAAGTTAAAATCATACATTAATCGTATTAGCATTTCTCTCCTCAGAACTATTTGTCTTCGTCTGTTCTGAGGTGTGGAGGTAGCAGGTTCACAGCAGGTAATAGTCTGCAGATACTACATGTTTTATTCAGTGGGAGTGCAGCCTTGGTAATTATGCACAAAAATCCGGCTCTAGTCAGAGAATTGTACGGCAAACGAAGACTCAAGCTGAACCACAGCTTTCAGACACGTGCACACCTGGCACACAAGAGCTCAGGCTTAAAGTGCTGACTCAGCACTCACACTATACTGATCCTGTTTCTCTTTACTTCGTCTCTTTTCCCCTGTCCTTGCTTTGACCTGAAACCTTCTGAATGTTTAGCTTTTTTAACGTTCATATTTCTCAAAATATTGAACTTTATTACATATAGTTTCTTGATTTTTGTTGTTTTATGCYATTTTTAGCTTTTAGCTAGCCTTTAGCAACTTGTTGCTTTTGTCTAGCAACTTAAGGAAGTGTATTGCTACTTTTATTTAACATTTTTTACTATTAGCTTTTAGCTAGTGTTATGCTCCCAACTATCATTGTGCTACTTTTAACTTACAGCTAACATTTCRCAACTTTTAGCTAGTTCTTTTTATTATTTTTTTGACTTTATCCTTCTTTTTTTACTTTTACAATTTAGCTAGTGTTTGGCTGCTTTTAGTTAGCTTTTTTGTTAAACTTAGCTTGTTACCAGAATTTCATTACACTTAATGTTTTGCTGCTTTTACCCAACACTAGCTGCGTTTCCATTGCAAATGTGCACAAAACTTTGTAGATATTCTGTTAATGTCGAAAAGACAGTCGCTGGAAAGCCTCGATAAAAGACGCCGACGTCTCCTCTGATGATGAGCGCTAGTGTCGTGGTAGCAACATGCTATGTGTTTACATCCATCGCTGCCATGT